TAGCGGCAGTGAGCAATCACTTATAATGAACAGAAATATCTTAAAATAATAATTGATGTAAGCAACAAAAGAAAAAAAAAACACGAAAAAAAGAAACAGCTCTGTGTACTGACTTGTGAACTTGACCCACCTTTTGAAAACAGAAATTAGCTCCTTAAGTGGTCCCTGATAGCAGAGACAGCTAGCAGAGACTCTGGGACTGATTCCGCCAGGACCGCTGTACTGACCAGCGGATCACTCCGCCCCCAGACGGCGGATCACTCCGCCCCCAGACGGCGGATCACTCCGCCCCCAGACGGCGGATCACTCCGCCCCCAGACGGCGGATCACTCCGCCCCCAGACGGCGGATCACTCCGCCCCCAGACGGCGGATCACTCCGCCCCCAGACGGCGGATCACTCCGCCCCCAGACGGCGGATCACTCCGCCCCAGACGGCGGATCACTCCGCCCCCAGACGGCGGATCACTCCGCCCCCAGACGGCGGATCACTCCGCCCCCAGACGGCGGATCACTCCGCCCCCAGACGGCGGATCACTCCGCCCCCAGACGGCGGATCACTCCGCCCCCAGACGGCGGATCACTCCGCCCCCAGACGGCGGATCACTCCGCCCCCAGACGGCGGATCACTCCGCCCCCAGACGGCGGATCACTCCGCCCCCAGACGGCGGATCACTCCGCCCCCAGACGGCGGATCACTCCGCCCCAGACGGCGGATCACCGCCCCCAGACGGCGGATCACTCCGCCCCCAGACGGCGGATCACTCCGCCCCCAGACGGCGGATCACTCGCCCCCAGACGGCGGATCACTCCGCCCCCAGACGGCGGATCACTCCGCCCCCAGACGGCGGATCACTCCCCCCCAGACGGCGGATCACTCCGCCCCCAGACGGCGGATCACTCCGCCCCCAGACGGCGGATCACTCCGCCCCCAGACGGCGGATCACTCCGCCCCCAGACGGCGGATCACTCCGCCCCCAGACGGCGGATCACTCCGCCCCCAGACGGCGGATCACTCCGCCCCCAGACGGCGGATCACTCCGCCCCCAGACGGCGGATCACTCCATCATATGAACTCTTTTCAAACCGTTCTCTTCGGAGTTTACACCGAGACAGAATAATATCAATCAATCAATCAATCAATCAATCAATCAATCAATCAATCAATCAATCAATCAAGTTTTTTTTCAGCAACAAGGCAGTTCAAATTGCTTTAGTCATGTGTCAATTAAAGACAAAAACATACATATTAGTTATGTGGTTGTCCACGAACGATCAGATGTTTTTTTCAACGGCTCTTTAATATGAACATAGGACTCGAGTCTCAATGAGAGCCGTTCTTGTTTTTCAGTAATGCTCTGGTGTTCTAGATTAACTGGTGGCAGCACCTGGAAAAGACAGATGTTTGTGTGGGCGTGGCTTTTTAGGACCCCTTACCGAACCAGGAAATAGACAATGCGATAAGCTTAAAGAATCTTTGTAAAAAATACTATCCAATCCCATAAGACAACTATTAAGATCGTGGGAATAACTAATTACAAAGACACTTATTGGTCTAATATGGTACGTTGCCTTTTTTTAAATTAATTTGAAAAATATGTAAATTAGGCAGAACTTGTCCTGATTTGCTTCAGAAGTTGAAATTTGTCAAAGGAAGATTGAAATAGATCTCAAGGTGCCAAAAACAGATCTCAAAGCAAAGATTAATCCCTGAAAGCCGATATAAATGTTTAAGAGCCTTGGGATTAATATAAAATGTTTAAAAAGAACTGGCTATATGTTTTTCACATCTCCCTCATCTTGTATGATATTTCAATTAGACATCCACAGAAAGAATATCGAAAAAATTTTAAGCATGTTATAGTTTATTTCTTCGCTCATTTACAGAAGACATGGCTCCTGCAGATCTGGATAATTTTGTCTTTATTGTTGATATTTTTTCTCTTAATTTACCAAAACATCTTTATTCTTTTCATTAAGTGACTAACACTCAACTGTAAGAGACAATGCTGAAAAAACTCTTACATACTTTTACATCAGAAACAGGTTAAAATCTTCACTCAAACTGAGATTCTGAAAGTGTCACCAGTTAATCCAGGTTTGCCTCTGAAAGCGCGAAGTGTCCGTTAGATCAGGATCAATAATAGGATCGGTTGATATAGTTGGATAAAACATCGCTCTCAGAGCTCAGCGGTCGCTGGTACGAGTTCAGTTAGAGAAGTCGTATAATTAATATACCAGAGCCGTTTTATTGTCTAAAAAAATTATATTCACTTGCAGCCAACGTTAACAAGTTTGCCAGGCAAACTTTTAACTGTAAGAATAGTCTGCTGCTCAGTTAAAGTGCAAAAGAAACAATGTGGCTTCCATTAAACGAGCAAGGAATTAGTTTGCGTGATATCAGAACTGTTTACATTTATTGACATGTTTGCAGAACATGCCAGTCAATATAAGACTGAGAAGATGTAAAATAATCGTCAGTCCTTTAAATGCTGGGTGATAATACATATTCTTACAGTTTAGCACCATCTCCTCTTCAAGTGATTTATATTTTTGTGATATTTCAATATATTCTTGAATATTCCTTCACATACAAAACATTGTTTTGAAGAGATAATAGAGAAAGAAACATTTTCTAATCCGCTTATTTACATTTGTCACATTGGTTATCGTTAGAAAGGTATCTAACTGCTTAAAAAGCTTTTTCAATAATTTTCTGATGAATGGGAGGTCAGAAGTCAGCCTGTAATTCTGCTGAAATTATTTTTCCAGATTGTTCTGTTTTATCAACGGTTTGCTAACTTCTGTTTTTAATGCCTGAGAGCGATGAGTTTACTACTTGGATCAGTGAAGAGGCAATGATAGGCAGGACTTTAAGGTCTGGATACAATATCTAGACAGTGGGAAGAGGAACTGAATTAATTTATAATTTCTTCTAAACTTTCAGAAAGTAGTTGAAATTGAGTCATTTTTCTGCATTTATTCTTTGGGCATAGCATTAGTACTGAATTTAGTGTGGATGTGTGGATTAACCCTCCATTTTGGGAAATTTTCCTCTGCCAAGAAGAGAAAATTAAACAGTTGACAAACTGATGGCCTCACTGTTGCATCTCCCAAATAAAAAATAAAAAAAACAGAAAGAAAAAGAGGAAACATGACAAAGCCTAAACTTTTCAGTTAAAAAATAATTGATTTTCAGGATTTTAATATATGGATTTTGATATGAAGTCTAATGCTGAGAAATAATCTGGTTAAAGAAACAAAAAGACAGAAAAAGAGACCTCACAAAAAAGACCAAGGTTGACACAACTTATTCCTAATGGCTCCATCGAGTTTCCGCTGAATACTGCAGTCCGATGGACAGAAAAGCCTGCTTGCAACACCTGCTTGTTGTTCGGGAGGACTCCGTGGCTTTCCTGTTTGGAGGATGGCGGCGGTTTGTTTTCTGTTCTCTTCCACACCTGATCACGGCCAACCGGTGAACAGGAGGATGTTCATTTCAAATCAAGTACCTACTCTCCTCTTGAGAAGGGACCTTAAAATCATGTCAACTATTGGAAAAACAGTAGTTGAGAGTCTGATGCTCACAAAAAAGGCCGGATAGAGTCGATCCCGTGAAAAAGGGGCATAACTGCCGTTAGCATTAAAGCTAACGGCAGTTAAAGGCCACTTCCGATGCACACAAATATCTCAAAATAGAATCAATATCAATAAAACAATGTCCTGAACTTTGAAACACTTCTAAATATGATATTTATAAATTACTTGTGCACTTCACCCACCCGTGAAAACAGAAATCGGGCTCTTCTTCAGTAACGGCTTTGCTGGAACGCTGACTTCTTCCTCTTCTTCTTCTTTGACAGTTATTGGCGATTGGCAGGCAATGAAACTGGTGCTTTACCGCCACCGTCTGGTGATTGTCTGTCAAGGATTTTGTAACCGTTAATTTAAGATCGCAAAATGTTCCTTTTTTCAGCCATAATGCTCTTATTAAATTCCTGTTTTTCTTTATTATTACTTTCTGACTTCCGCACGTTTTACTGCGTTTAACTTCTTCTGCTAACAAATTATGCCAATAAAATGTCTGCTTCTTCTAGAGATTCTTTATTTTTAAACATTTCCCATTTTTAACTTAGGGAAAAGTTGAAAATGACTAAAATAAATAACATCGTATTGGAGTTGGTTTCATTGTAGCAGAGTTTAATCAAAGTTAGGAAAAAGAATGAACGAACTTTCAGTTACACATGAGAAATGATAAAAATATTATCAGCCATTCAGTTATTTATTCAGTTATATATAATTTCAATTAAAGAAATAATATTTAGGATCCGTAAATCGTTCTGATTCCAATTCATTATTAGTCAGATTTCAACACAACAATTCAGAAAACGGATCAAATATCTTAACAGATATTCAACAAACATTAGACAGAATATGATGTCTAATGATTACATTTTTATGGGCCACAGATCATCATGGTGTCAAAGGGAACAAAATGGCAGCTGAAGCTGCAAAAGGGGCAAATAGAAATTAGCTTGTGGGGTTATGTTTCCATTTTATAAAAACAGATAATTTTTAAAATAAAACAGAAAATGGATGAGAAAATGTAAAAGCAGTGTGAAAAAGAAAGGAAAGAATGTTGCTTCTCTAAAATCCAATAGAAAACTAGAGAAATGAGAAGTAAATGGAGAAGGAGGAGAAGAAGAGAAAATTACTTGTCTCCTCAGATTTGGGTAAACTGGGCCACTCAGCACTCTTTGTTTCAGTGAACACAGAGGGGATGATGAGACAATAGAACATGTTCCATCATTTAGAAAAATAACAATTTGATTCAAAATTTTAAAACAATTACACTTGAACTGGATTTGATTGACTTATTTAGTAATAACACGAAAAGTAAAAGTTATTAGATAATATGATGATAATGTTTCCTACCCAGATTATTTTGAACAGATATAAAATTTTAGTGATATTCTGTTTCACATTTTATACCAGTCGGTGGCGGTAATGCACCATGACCGTCGTTAGCCAACCGCTAATAACCATCGAAGAAGAAGTCAGCCTCGCAGCAAAGCCATTACTGAAGACTCTGATTTCTGTTTTCACAGGTGGGTTAAATGCACAAGTAAGCGATATATATTAATTTTAAAAGTGTCTTTAAGTCCAGGACAGTGTTTTATTGACAAAGATTCTATTTTAAGACATTTCTTTGTGTTAGAGGTGACTTTTTCTGCCGCTAGCTTAAATGCTAACTACCGTTACTATAAACAGGTTTTATGTTATTGTTTACGTCCAGAAATTTTAGGCATGCGCACAACGCTGGACAACAAAAAACAAACAAACAACAACAACAACAAAAAACGTTTACCTTCCGCTTCAAAACAATTCCGTTAACAAAATGAAACCTGGAGATGAAGCTATCATTAATTTAGGGCCGTTCGCCACAGCAAAGGGAAGATAACGCAGAAAAACCGTTGAAGAACATCTCCAAACCACTCGTTCATTTTCTCGGTCCCTGTGTTTGCTACGCAATGCAGACCCGTTGCCATAGAAACAGTTACAATATTGTATCAATATAAATAGTAAAAGCCGTGGCTTATGTATAACCCCAAATTAAAGCTGTTGCTAGTGGGTTTATCCTTTGTGCCCAGCGCAGCCCTAAAACCTTCAGTCCACATGCTGATTGGACGCACTTCCGGTCTGTATAAATCACGGTCAGAGCGACAATCAGCTCCCAGATTGATTTATTCTCCATCTATTTAGGAACCAGTGAGGCCCATTGCTGTTTCCAGTAGGGTTTGTCATTAAGGCCGCTTCTGTGGGTTAAAGCAGGATGTAGTCTATGCCTCACTGGTTCCGGCCAGACGTCCGACTCCATGTGCTGCTTCATAACTTTAAATGCGTTGTCATTTTTCTGAGGCAACAGAAGAAGAGAGTTGAGCTGATTTTTAGAGCCTGATTGGGATTCTTCTGGGATTTCAAGAGAGATGCTCAGTGGGAGGAATGCTGCAGACAAGGTTTTCAATTAGTAAACACAGATAAACGTTTATGTGACCTTTCAAATAAAATAACCTTGTTTATTAATACTAAATAAATAATGATGCAAACATTGTCATGTATAAAATGCTTTGTAATTATACTCACATTTGCATAAACACTAGCTCATACATTACAGAAACCTAAGAAACAAATGTTTCCAACCTGAAGTCTTTTTGTATCGATGCAGAATCAATCTGCTCAAGGTCATCAATAGTTCATAATATTACTCAAGTAAATGTAAAGTACAGTGCAGTAAAAGTACTCGGATAAGTACTTGTATACGTAATAAATGTTTTTAGGAACATCAGTGAACAGTACCAACAGCATGCAGAGTGGGAAGAGACAGCCAGTTATTTTTAATTGAACTTTGCCATGTCTTTTATATATTTTCCAACACTGAAATATTTGGTCTTCTATACCAATGATCACTTAATCGTTTCTTTTTCTGTTTCTATGCTGGCAGGACAAAGTTAATGTTTTATATCTGGTCTGATCACTAATTGAGTACCTGTGGTCGATTTATTAAAGTATCTTCTGCAAGAGCAAAGATTGTAAAACATATAATATGCATCAGAGTGTAAACCTTTATGGAGTGAATAGATTTATTTTATAACCAAGGACAGGAGAATTGCAGAAATGTGTATGAGAGAGTGAGAGCTTGTTTCTTGGCATGAAAGGTTTGTTCCAGAAGCAGATTTGTTTCCCAAAACTGTATTTTTCCTGTAAAGGATGGAGAACTACAGCGACGACGATGACTCTTCTACAGTCAATGTTAACAATGCCAATCCTCCTATTAAATGTAAGTGACTCTCTAAGCATTTTACAGTTTTTGAGGATTAAAAACTAACAGTGCTACCCAAAAGCATGTCATACATTGCTATTTCCTCTGTAGGAAGTTATACTTTCTTAACATGGGCTGTATCAGGAGTTGTTTTTATGTCACATGTAAACCTGAAGCTTTAATTTTCTTTATTTTCTTTAATTTGCTTTAATTTGCTTTCTCTGCAAGCCAAGTTTAGTTGTATAGCACATTTCAGCAACAATTCAAAGTTCTTCACATGATAAAAACAATAAAATGGAGAATAGCTAGTGGTCTAAAATTAGTGATGGTTAATTTATTATTCTAAATAATCCAAAATCAACTCTAAACATGTTTTTAACCTTGTGTTACGTTCTGGTTCGGACGACGTCTACAAAATCATAAGGGTTATATAACACCAAAAGACATTTTTAGCCTTTTTGATTCATTTGTTCATAAAATAAGTCTAGGGGTAGTGGGCAGTGCCACAGGTTGCACCGGTGTGTGCGCGTTTCCGTCTGGTCAAGTTTACAAGTATCCTTCCAGAATCCAGAAAGTGTCCTTCCAGAATCCAGAAAGTATCGTTCCAGAATCCAGAAAGTATCCTTCCAGAATCCAGAAAGTATCCTTCCAGAAACAATCAGCAAAGACACTTCCATATGACCCACTGGGACAGTCTAATTTTAGCTTTAGACAGTAATTAAGTTCAGGTTGTTGTTCTATCGGACAGTTTGTGTTTATTTTTCAGCTTTAGGTCATGTTCAGTAATATTGATAAACAGGTTGCTTATCAGGAATCAATCAATCAATCAATCAATAAATCAATCAATCAATCAATTTAATTTATAAAACACCCTTCATGCTAAAAGCAGCTAAAAGTGCTGTAAGGATCAATAAAAACAAACAATAACCCACCACACATGGATGAACACACAGCTGCCTGGAAAATGCACGAACTGAGCAGAAATGATTCAGTTCAGGAAGTACTGAACTGATACGTTAAAAAGACGGATCTTGACTGCTCTTAAAGACAGCAACACTTTCTGCTCTTGGGTTTTCTGGCAGACCGTTCCAGAAACGGTGGTCAGTAATACTGGAAAGGAGCCTCACCATCAATGTGTTTCTGACTCGAGGAACTGTCCATAGTCAGGTGCCAGAGGACCTTAGAGTCCACAGAGGTTCATAAGGTAATAGCAGCTCTGTAAGATAAGATGATTAAGCCATTTAAAAACCATTAAAAGAAACTTAAAATCAATTCTGAGAGGCACTGGGAGCCAGTGCAGTGATTTTAAAACGGGTATGATGTGAACCTGACTTTTGGTCTTGGTTAGCACTCAAGGCACAGAGTTTTGTAATAACTGAAGGTTGAGCAGTTTTCATTGGGAGACCAGATAGCAGGGTATTGCAATAGTCTATACAGCTGGAAATGAAAGCATACATAAGAGTCTCAGTATTAGCGAGGGAAAGAATAGGGAAAACTCAGGTGATCATTCCTTACATGATAAAATCCTGTTTTATCATGTTTAATGCGTGGAATAAAAGTGAGCTCCAAGTAAAGAAAAACTCCCAGGCTTCTGACTTGTTTTGAAAGTTTAAAGGCAGCTATTCGAATCATTCGGAGAATGGTTTCAGCCCCAGTTAGAATTATAACTTCTTCTGATCCTCTGGTCCAATGATTAAACCTTCTGTTTTGACCTGGAGAAAGTTTTGTGCCATCCAGTTTTTATGTTTGAAATACAGTAATACAGTGAAATAAAAAGTACAGTGACTGGCTGGGGGTCATCCTGAGGCAAATGTAAAATCTGTTTCTGGCTTCACAATTGGTGACGGCACGATGTATTTATAATGGCTTTCTGCTGTCACGATGCAAATCACTTTGAACATCCTTGTTGCTGAATTGTGCAATACAATTAAATTTCATTGATTAGTTAATCAATAACTTACTAATCCCATTGTTTTGTTTTAGCTGAAGATGCAGTGGAGTCATCAGCACTTCGGTGCTCTTCTCTGTTGATGGTGTTTTTGGGGTTGCTTTGTGCCATACTGACTGCAAATTCATCTACAGTGAGTTTCATTTCAGCAAGATAAATTTAAGTAGCTTCCTGAGTAACAAGTATTTAAAGGTTTAAAGCATTGGGATGCAAGCTCATAGATGAGCGCTCCAGTGCCTGGAGTGGTTTGATGCTGAGTGTGAAGGAGCTGGATGGATGGTGTTAAGAATTAAAAAGAGAAATAACTTGATTTAGCTCGTTAATTAATTCTTTGTCCCGAATTCCTGTGTCTGTGTAAGTGTGCAGAGAGAAAAGAGCAATCATACGACGTCAGACTTCAGATATTCAGAGTTTTATCCAGAGAAATTCAATGCAGTTCAGAATGTTACAACAAGCATCTCACCTAGATTATCAAAAAGTCCAAGACATTACAAAACAGAGACAAAGAACTGAGTAAAAAGACAAAAGATTAACAGAAGATGCATCCTCCGGGAAACTCTCACTCAGCATAAAGAGATTCAAACTTCTGCTGTAAAACAAATCATTTATAGAATGCGTATTCTCCTCATTTAAATATATGCATTAGGAGGTGTGTTCTTTTCCTTTGTGTGGGCTGTCTTAATGTTAATTTTATTACCTCCTGCTAAAGAGCCCAAAAGCAGATATGGCAGCCCTTCTCATATCAGCCGCTGTCCAGTTTGATATATGATTGCAGCTGCAGCGCTATCTCTGCCTCAAAATGTTTCCACAAGAAAGTAGTTTGTATTTTTAACCAAGCTTGCACACAATGTAATGCTAAATAATGACTATAAGTTTGGATCTAATAAGTAACTAATTAAAAACATGCTTAAAGAAATATAGTTAATTCTAATATAGATAAAATTATTTATAAAAAGTTTTAAGATCCTAGTGAACTTTTGAACCATGCTCAGGAATTTGTTAATTGCCTGGCATATAGGCTCCTTATCTCAAGAGAACCAAGGAGTCTAGGCCTGTGCTCTGTCTACTCCTCTTTTTAAGAATTTATCTTTATCTGCGTTCATAGAGTGAGCCGTTGTTCTAGTATTATCTAAATTTATATGCATTAGAGTGTACTTTAACTTTCTATGTTATATTCATATGTATCAAAAACTATCCTGTGCAGTATTGTGCTAACTTAAAATTCTATTTCAACAATGGTAATCTCACATTTCTGTTCCAAGAAGCTACAGAATGTCCCCTGCTTCAGTCTGACCAAAACTGGTTCGAGGGTGTTTTTTGAACAATCAACCACCTCATAAAAGAAAGAACACAACTTTATTCTCTGATTTAAGATATTTTTTCCACATCAATTGATCTTTAATGTTCAAATAGTCCATCTGAATTACATCTTTTAAGAACATCACCCAAAAACATTAATTCATTTACTGATTTTACAACATTTTTAAAGATTCTCATTTTACCTGTTTAAGTATTTTTTTTGTTTGTCACACTGATATTTAGCATAAACATTAGTGCTTATGCCAAACACTACAAATCAACATTAGTTAATTTATAGTAAGCCAAAGTTAACTATAAAGTTTGGTATTTCCCAATATGTATTGATTTTATTTAGGAAATAACCAAAGATTTATTTTCCAAATCACATATTTCTTCTCATTTTCAAGCGCATACACTAATCACAAAATTTATAAACTAAAACTCACAAAGTTCACAGCTGCAAGCAAATGTATTCTTTTCTCTCCATGGACATGCATGTACAGACAACAAGCATACAAAACTTACAGCAAGCACAGAGGTCAGCTCAACACCAAAAGCAAGTAGAAATGGTTTCTGAGTATGTTAAAAAGAATCAGAAACTTGAGGTCAGCAAGCTCATGTTTAGTAATGAAATAATAACTGTACACACTGAAAGAAGTTATGCGCACTAGGAGATAGAGTGGGTCAACCTTCTCATTGGGTCCACATCCCAAATAATCAGTGTCGGTGCTTCCCATAAACTCTAAAACCAGAGGGATGTCTAAAGCTGCCCTACGACTTCCAGTGTCCAACTCGGCACTGGAAGAACGTATCTGCTGGACCCTAGTCAGTTTTGCCAGATACAGGGCTGCAAAGCCCAGAGGCACCTTTTTTCTTGAGCATGCAAAATAAATGGAGATGAAGACATCTCCAGTTTCACTGCACACTTATACGCAGCCTCAACTGCCAGGTTCTTGGTTAGGATATATTAACATTAGCAGACCAGCAACCATGCATCTGTCCTGAAGAGCACATCACATGACCCCACACTTCATACATGTCAAAACTCATACTTGTTAAAAAATGTTATGTCTTGTTCTATTTTTTACCCATGAAGGTCTCTAAAATTTATTGAAACTAAACAGCCTGCAGGATAGTTACTGTATTACTTTTACATCTAAAATAAATATTTCTTAAATAGTCTATTGTTACAAGTAATCATGGATCCTTTAAGACCTATTTATTCTCTTTTTAGTTACTTGTTATCTATTAATTACTTGTACTACATTTAAATGGCTATTTTTATGAACAGGCTCATATTTCATAAAGGTTCAATACCTAAGGGCAATTTAGTGAGACCAATCAGTCTGACAGTCATGAGGCTGAACTGACGCATGAACAGGAAGAACATGCAGACTCAACAAATATGGACCCCACTGACTCAATCAATGAACCTTATTGGTGCAAGGCAACTGTGCTACCACCATGCAGCTCCCAAAAATAAATGAGTTAATGAAATATTCAAATCAGTTAAGTGTCATTTGGTGCTATACTAAGAATATGGTCTGATATCCTAAAAGGGTTTAAGAGAGAAACTGAACATTTTGATGCTCTGTGATACAGATAGATTCACTGACTTTCTGACTAATTTGTGTGTTTCTAGTGAGTATGATGACGACCAATCAGCTGGAAAATATCCAAACCCTTACAACAGACAAACAGCTGATTTATGAAAAAGAGATGATGCAAAACCAAATTGACCATATGATCCAAGACAGACACCTGAGCCTATTAAGAGAGGGTTATCCGAGAGAGGCTTACTCAAGTCAGAGAGCAGCTGAGCAATATGACAGATGAACTGGACCAACAGACAGAGGAGAAGAAAGAGAGAGATGAGCTGAGCAAAGAGAAAGAGGAGGTGAACAAAAAGAAGGAGGAGGTAAACCAAGACATAGAGGAGCTGATTAGTAACACACAGGAGCTGGAGAAAGAGAGAGACGAGCTGAGTAAAGAGCAAATCAAACAGAGCAAAGAGACAGAGAAGCTAAAAAAAGAGGAAGAAGAGCTAAGCAAAGAGAAAACAGAGCTGAGTAATGAGAAAGAGGAGCTGAGCAAAAAGAAAGAGGAGCTGAAAAAAAACAATGATGAGAGAGCAGAACTTATTGAAGAGAAAGAGAAGCTGAGCAAAGAGAAGAGGAGCTGAACACTGAGAAAGACGAACTGAAGAAAAAGAATGATGAGCTCAGCAAAGAGAAAGAGGAGATCAGAAAAGAGAAAGACAAACTGAACAAAGAAAATTACAAGCTGAGCAAAGACAGAGAAGAGCTGAGCAAAGAGAAAGACAGGCTGAACCAACAGAAAGAAGACCTGGACAAAATGAAAACGGAGCAGATTAAAAAGAAAGAGTGGCTCAGCAATAAAACAAAGGAGCTGAACAAAGAAATAAATGAGCTGAACAAAGAGAAAGATGAGCTGAACAAAAAGACAGAGGAGCTGATCAAAAAGAAAGACGGCTAAACAAAGAGGAAGAAGAGCTGAAAAAAGAGGAAGATAAGTTGAGCATGAAGAAAGGAGAGTTGATCAAAAAGATAGAGGATATCAGCAAAAACATAATGGAGCTGAACAAAGAGAGAGCAGGGTTGAGCAAAGAGAAAGATGAGCTGAGCACAGAGAAAACAAAACTGGACAAAGAGAAAGAAAAGCTGAGCAAAGAGAAAAAGGAGCTGAGCAAAGAGAAAGATGAAGTGAACAAAGAGAAAGACAAGCTGAGCAAAGACAAAAAGAAGCTGCACAAAGAGAAAGATGAACTGAACAAAGGGAAAACGACCTAAACAACATGAAAGTGGAGCAGAGCAAAGAAAACCAGCAGCTGAGCAAAGAGAAAGAGGAGCTGAACAAATGAGAAAGGAGCTGAACACAGAGAAAGATGACCTGAGCAAAAAGAAAGCAAATCTGACCAAAAAAAGAGAGGAGCTGAACAAATTGACAGTTAATCTGAACAAAGAGAAAAATGAGCTGAACAAAAATAAAGAGCTGAACAAGGAGAAAGAGGACCTGAACAAAATGAAAGTGACTCTGAACAAAGAGAAAGAGGAGAACAAACTGAAAGTGAATCTGAACAAGACAAAGATGTCCTGAACAAAAATAAAGGAGAGTTGAACAAAGAGACACAGGAGCTGAACAGACTGAACGCAGAGTTGAGTAAAAAGAAAGCAGAGCTGAGCACAAAGACAAATAATCTGCACAAAGAGAAAGAGAAGCTGAAACAATATAAAGAAGACCTGAGCAAAGAGAAAGCAGACCTAAGCAAAACGAAAGAGGAGCTGAACAAAGAGAAAGAGACGCTAATAGCAGAGAAAAAGAAGACGGAGAGTCGATGCAAAGACAAAGATGCCCTGCAAATCTTCTATAATTTTGTCATGTCATTTCAGACCTTTACAGTTGAAAAATTCTGTCCTCGAGATAGTAATATTTTCTGGATTACCTTTGAAACTCTTAATTATTAATTTTATTTTTGAAATATTCAACTAAGTGTTTCAAGACACAGCTGACCATTATAATCAGATTATAATCACAGGTAGAGTGCTGAAGGTCACTTTCCTGACAACAAAGTGAGCCAGTAAAATTGATTCATTAGCTCCAGGTTAACAGCCAACTTTTGATTTCAGAGAATATTATTTTTAGTGAACCCTGCGGTATGCCACTTCTGACTAGATAATGTCTTAATTTAATCACCTTCCAATACTGATCCGCACTCTACCTTTAAAAGCTTTTTTAGAGGAATTTTGATAATGAAAATTTAAATAAGTCCACATGGATTTCTTCTAGAAATGTATTTTTTCTTTTTGATATTTGACCAAAGTTTCACTTCATTATGCTCTTTCCCCTTGTCTAGTGAGACCAAAATGTCTGGATTGCAGGGTCGGATGGCTTTCCTTCAGGGGACACTGCTACTGGTTTTCAGATAGAGGTCATTCTTGAATTTCTGGGACGTGTCTCGAGACTTGTGTCAGCATGATAGTGGATATTTGGCTATAATTGATGATCTGGAGGAGCAGGTAAAACATAACATCACCTCTACTCTAGAAATTTAAAACGAATCTGAAAGTTTCTGGAAGATTGATCGCTTGACAATACTGAATTGCCCATATAAATTGAATCAATACGACCTAATTAAATTTTTTAAGTGAGAATAGAAAACCAAAGAGGAGGAGGTGTTGCCCTAATACATGATGATTTCTTTAATTGCAAAAAATATTTTTAGGTCATTTGAACTCTTGAATATCTGGGAATTGAGGTAAAAAACCACAAACAAGGTCTGATACTAACTCTATGCAAAACTCCAATATATGTGGAAAACTTCTTTATTGGCTTTAATGGGCTTTTATGTGTTACATGCATCAATTATGATAGTTTCATAAAGTCTGCATTCTTGCTTTGTTGAAGCGCATACATGATGCTAGGAATGAATCTTGGCTCAATATCCATATGCTCCCACTAGCTCAGGTTATATCAACAAATAAGATCATCCACCATAACTACGCAGATGATACACAGCCAGTGATGGCATAGTTACCTGAAAAAGTAACTGGATTACTGATTACTCCTTAAGAAGTACCTTAGCTAAATTACTGATTACTTGATTTGGTAAAGCGTTACTGACTTCACTGATGTCACCAGGTGACTCTGAACCCATCCAATCACTGAACAGATACTTAGAGCAGATAAATGTGAGGATGTGCCAAAACTTTCTGCGTGTTTCAGGAGTTTCCCTGCGTCAACCCAGCTCATTTCAATTGATGAATGATTAACAGGTATTTGCTGCACTGCAATCACCTGAATCAGGAGTACAAAGGCAGGGAGACATCTAAAATATGCGGGGCAGTCTGCCTTGAGGACCAGAGTTGGAAAACACTGATGTAGAATCAATGCACAGCTTCAGCTATACATCTGGAAACCAGTGATCAGACTAAAACCTGGAGCGGTGATGGACTCAGACCTGAACCTTCAGGGTCACATAAAGGCAGTCATAAAGTCGGCCTTCTATCACCTGAAGAACATCTCCAGGGTTAAAGGGCTAATGTCCCAACAAGATGTAGAGAAACCCAATCATGCGTTTATCTTTAGTCGCATTGATTGCTGCAACATTGTCTTCATAAGTCTGACTAACAAAATCAATCCTCCAGCTGCAGCTGATCCAGAACGCTGCCGCTGGCGTTCTGACTAAAACCAGGAAGATGGAGCACATCGTCCCAGTTCTACAGTTCCTCCACTGGATCCCTGCAGCTCAGAATAAACTTTAAAATACTGATATTAGTTTAAATCACTGAACGGTTTAGCACCACATGAACCATCTGCTGCTGTATCAACCCTCCAGACCTCTCAGGTCGTCTGGTTCTGCTCAGCATCCCCAGAACCAGAACCAAATATGGAGAAGCACCTTTCAGCTTCTATGCACCACAAATCTGGAACAAACTTCTAGAAAGTTGTAAAACAGCTGAAACACTGAGTTCCTTAAAATCTAAAGAGCCAGCTGTTTAGAGTTGCTTTTGAAACATTATAAAAGAAACTATCAACATTTTGATTACCATTTTGTAACGATAGAGAAAATTGACAAAATGTAACGCTTCAGTTTTTAACTGTGTTCTATGACTGTATTTTTATGATGCAAAGCACTTTGAACTGCCTTGTTGCTGAAGTATGTTGTATAAATAAACTTGATTGATTGATTGAAGTAAAAGAGATTTATGACAGTCTGAAATGAAATCTGTTCACAGAAATTTATCGTCAAGCATGCCAAACCCTACGAATCTCAACACCAAGGATACTGGATAGGGTTACATCATAAACTCGCCGGATGGTTCTGGGTTGATGGACGTAAGAACGCTCTTGAGTAAGAACTATTATCCAAAAATATACATATTTAGAGCTACTGTGTGTAACTTTTATAGAAAATACATTTTCATATTTGTTGAAACGGCTATCATGTCCTAACAGTATGGTATCTAATAAAGATTAATAAGGTGTGAAAAATTTGGGCTCCTCTGCCTTCTCCCATTGCTCTGAGTGCTAACTGGAAACAACCAATCAGAGCCTGGAGGCGGGTCTTAGCGCTGTCAGTCACAACCTAGTGTGGCTGCTCTGCTACTGCTTTTGCCTATCAGCAGATCCTGCTGTGATTGCTCAGGCTAGTTAGCATAGCAACTGATGGCAGTTTTCCTGTAACAGTAAGTTGTTTCTCTGCCATTAGCACAGTTAGCAGAAACTAAATGAGGTTGAGTGAAAACGTTAAGACCCTCCTCCTGGTGTAGCAACTGTCCCTGTAACTTTAAAGTTGGGCTTTTGCTATGTTTGTGCTTCTGTTGATGGCAATGCCTTTGACTAGGCCATTATTGTAACATGCAATGAAACATTAAGTTGGTGAAGGCCTTCACTGGTTAAATCAGGGGTGATCAAGACAAAAGACCTGATTTGCAAACACATGCTGCCATGAAGAATTCTGTCCAGAGGGATGAATAATTTTTAGACTTCATCATTGGAAGTAGTTCCTTATGTTGAATTTGGATCAAATATTTTTGTTTCATTAGGTTTAGTTACATTTGTGTAGTGTTACTCATTTCTTGAAAACATCTGAGAAAATCCTAAGTTGCTGTTGTAGTTGAGTAATTTTAGATTCAACAGTAGAAACAAGGACATTTACGGTGCGGAGGTGGCGCTGGAGTAAACGCTCGACCCGTGTATAGACGCAGCTATCACAGGTTTGAGGTCCAACCTGTTGACCTTTGCTGCATGTCTTTCTTCTTTCTCACAACCCAAATAAAGACGATTAGATCCAAGATTATTCTTTAAAAGATTGGATCTTTGGTAAAGCATTTAGAGCTTTAAAATCCAAGTTTTCAAGTTTGTAAAACTTTACTACAAGACTTATTTACTACAAGTCTAGTTTCTTTGCAAGTGTGTCTTTATTTACATTGAGACAACAACGCATGCTGACAGTTTTCAGTTTGATGTTATAAGCTGCTGAACAATTTTATTTTACAAATGTTCTGAGGTTCATGTTTCTGTCTTAAAGCTTCTGGACAAAAGAGGTCCCCCATTCTTCGGGAGCAGCTCTGCATATGCCACAAAGAAAAGCCAAAGAGAGCTGGAGAGCAGAAGACAAGGCAGTGAAGCACAGATTCATCTGTGAGCATCCTATGACTGTTTGGCCCTACAACTAACACTGTTCTGTTAAAGCTTCAGCGAGGAATACTCAACTGTGTCATCAATTTTTTGACAAATGTCATGAATGAAAGCACAATGTCTGTAGGTTAAATCCCACATTAAAAGATTCAATACAGATGTGGCGTTTCTACAGGAGACTCGTATCAGAAGTTGTGACGGTGGGCATCTCCTGGCATGCTGGAAGGGACAATGTTTTCATGAACTTTTTCAGGTTAAAGCACGAGGGTCTCCATACTGATCAGCCAGCATATTCCACCTCAGGCCGATAATGTGGCAGCCAATAAACATGGCCGATTTATCGCCTGTACAACATTCTGAACGCCCTACTGAGTGTTTATGGTCCGTATTCAGGTGATGAGAATTTTTTTTCTTTTCTGATAAATACTCGTTGGTTTAGTGGTCGATTTCAATTGTTGGCTTGACCCAGGTTTTGACCCTCATCATTAAAATGAATGTCATAAGCAAGTCTGCATCAGTCATCCAAACCGTTTTATCTGAATGCAGACTGTGTGATGTGTGGCGTACTTTAAATCCCGACCAGAGGGAGAACTCATGCTTCTCACGTGTCATTCAAGAATTTATTATTTTATCACTGATACTAAATGCCTGCTGCAGATCCGTTCCTGTGGCTATCAAAACATTGTTATTTCACTCTGTCCTGGTCCCTTCCTCACTTTCCTAAAGTTTATTCAGGATGAGATACATGTCTTTTTTGCTACTAATTCCTCCCAAGAAACCTCCAGCATTGCAGTATGGAATGCCATTAAAACCCAGTTAAACCTGCACAATTTTAGAATTGTTGTTCCATTTTCAAAGCCTGAGAGATGACACACTAGCCGATTATAATGGCAGGTATAACGTGTTTGATAGTAGAGTGTGAGGTTTCACTCGCAAACATTCCAACTCCAGATACGAAATCCCGTAAAATTCTACGATTCCACACCTGAATTTAAAGTTAGCAAACATGGACAACGACGTTGAAGCAACAGAAAAAGAGATGCAGCAAAACGTTAAAGCTTTGGATTAGGAACTGGAGATCAGAGCGAAATCAAGGGTTATATTTGTTGCACTACAAGATAGAGATGAGTTGTATTTTTCTACCTTTTAACGAACATCACACTGGGTTTCATTTCTTTTCTGCTCTGTCGTTTAATTAATCGTAACTGTTTAATGATACGTTTTTACGTTGATGTTGCAGAATATGTGCATGTTCTGGGCCTTGTTTCAGAAAGCTGAACAATTGAAAGATCCAAGCAGATTGAGCTAGAAGAGTGCATGTCCTGCATATTTGCTTTTAGAGAACCAGATACCAGTTAAACTTGTTTTTCCCCAACAAAGGTAACGTCTTCCAGCTCCATTTATTGAGACCGCATGGTGAGTTAATTGCAGTTTTTCTGGCCTCAGCTCTGCCGCTCCTGGAGCTGCATGCGCAATATTTGTGCACTTCGGTTTTCACAGTTCAATGAACTTCTGCACCTATATTTTCCTCTATTTGCCCTTCTGTGTAGGCTCGAAACAGATTAACACATTTTCTATATGTTTCTCTGTTGTGTTATCACTGCAGACTGAAATTAAACATGCCATTTCAACCAAATGTTAGAATGCGCTTCTAAATCAGATGTACTCTGTGCCAAAAGTTTATCATTTTTCAGTGTTTTTTTCTTTCTGGTTACCTGTCACATTCAACAGGCTGCGTTCTCGCTCCCAGTCGGGGGACACCACACACACTGTGATCATCGGGCCAAGGCCAAGATGTTGAATATTCCTGTTTTTAGATCGGAGCAGTCCCAACGTTCTACCGACTGGACCCGATCAGCCGTAACACACCACACAGTTCAGGATGATTGGTTACAATTATCGCAAAGAAATCGGGGCAAAACATTGTGCAGTGTGAAGTGAGCTTAAAGCCTACATAAGAGGCCAGATAACTGCCGACTTAGCAAAAATAAAATAAAAAACAGTATAATTGGTCAGCAGAACAACTGGGGGAGAATTTTCTATCATAGTCCAAGAGCACAATTTTCAGTGTGACAGCAGGACTTCATGTTTTTCTTCTCAAAACTTGTAATGATTGTCCTCAAAACAAAATTGGAAAACTCCAAAGTCATAGTTAACAAATATCTTTATCCCAAAGTTAGTGGAAGAAACAAAGAAATTACTTAAACAGGTCAAATTTGAATCTTTTGAGAAGCTGTAAAATAATTAACTAATGCTTCTGGGTGATGTTCTTGAAAAGATGGACTATCTGGAAAGTAAAGATCAACTGATGTGAAAATATACCTTGAATTACTGAGAATAAAGTTGCTTTATTTTTGGGTTTGTTAATAGACAGAGTGACTGGGAATGACTGGTCTTAGTGTGTTTGATGGGTTTCATGAAGCGCTTTGCACATGTGACATCACTTCATTGTCCAACCTACAGTGAATACATGTAGTGATTTTTTCTTATTTTTAAACTTTGTAGAAACAGTAAATATTTTATTTATAACCAAAATAGAGATAAATCTAAGGAAACTTTCAGTGGTCTCATAGATCCTTGATTAAGCAGAAACATCTGAGAAAAAAGTTTTATTTGATACATTTTTATTTTACTTAAGATTTTAAGGTAATGTTCAAAAACCCAGGGTGACAGTTACAGTTTTGAAACTCCAGTAATTTTGCTTTGTTTATAACAGCTTCCAATGGAAATTGGAAACTATATTTGGGTATTCTTGAGGTTATGAATTGGTATGAGGATGACAAAAAGGACAGAGTTTTATAAATTATTACACAAATTTTGTCTTAACTGATTACAAACACTTTGAATTACAAAAAGAGGGGAACCAAATCATTATTGTAAGGGAATAAAATGACAGATGGGGCCGCAAAGGAGGCAGCTAAATTTGTAAATTTTGTTTTTCATTTTAATAAAACAGAAATAAAAATTGTAAAGGAAAGAATGTTGCTTCTCTAAAATCCAATAGAAAACTAGAGAAATGAGAAGAAAATGGAGAAGGAGGAGAAGAAGAAAAAATTACTTGTCTCCTCAGATTTGGGTAAACTGGGCCACTCAGCACTCTTTGTTTCAGTGAACACAGAGGGGATGATGAGACAATAGAACATGTTCCATCATTTAGAAAAATAACAATTGATTCAAAATTTTAAAACAATTACACTTGAACTGGATTTGATTGACTTATTTAGTCATAACACGAAAAGTAAAAGTTATTAGATAATGTTTCGCTAAATTGAATGAACAGATATAAAATTTTAGTGATATTCTGTTTCACATTTTATACCAGTCGGTGGCGGTAATGCACCATGACCGTCGTTAGCCAACCGCCAATAACCATCGAAGAAGAAGTCAGCCTCGCAGCAAAGCCATTACTGAAGACTCTGATTTCTGTTTTCACAGGTGGGTTAAATGCACAAGTAAGCGATATATATTAATTTTAAAAGTGTCTTTAAGTCCAGGACAGTGTTTTATTGACAAAGATTCTATTTTAAGACATTTCTTTGTGTTAGAGGGACTTTTTCTTCCGCTAGCTTAAATGCTAACTACCGTTACTATAAACAGGTTAGTGATTGTTTAAGTCGGCATGCGCACAACGCTGGAGAACAACAAACGAACAAACAACAACAAAAAAAAAAAACGTTTACCTTCCGCTTCAAAACAATTCCGTTAACAAAATGAAACCTGGAGATGAAGCTATCATTAATTTTGGGCCGTTCGCCACAGCAAAGGGAAGATAACGCAGAAAAACCGTTGAAGAACATCTCCAAACCACTCGTTCATTTTCTCGGTCCCTGTGTTTGCTACGCAATGCAGACCCGTTGCCATAGAAACAGTTACACTATTGTATCAATATTAAATAGTAAAAGCCGTGGCTTATGTATAACCCCAAATTAAAGCTGTTGCTAGTGGGTTTATCCTTTGTGCCCAGCGCAGCCCTAAAACCTTCAGTCCACATGCTGATTGGACGCACTTCCGGTCTGTATAAATCACGGTCAGAGCGACAATCAGCTCCCAGATTGATTTATTCTCCATCTATTTAGGAACCAGTGAGGCCCATTGCTGTTTCCAGTAGGGTTTGTCATTAAGGCCGCTTCTGTGGGTTAAAGCAGGATGTAGTCTATGCCTCACTGGTTCCGGCCAGACGTCCGACTCCATGTACTGCTTCATAACTTTAAACGCGTTGTCATTTTTCTGAGGCAACAGAAGAAGAGAGTTGAGCTGATTTTTAGAGCCTGATTGGGATTCTTCTGGGATTTCAAGAGAGATGCTCAGTGGGAGGAATGCTGCAGAGTAAACAAGGTTTTCAATTAGTAAACACAGATAAACGTTTATGACCTTTCAAATAAAATAACCTTGTTTATTAATACTAAATAAATAATGATGCAAACATTGTCATGTATAAAATGCTTTGTAATTATACTCACATTTGCATAAACACTAGCTCATACATTACAGAAACCTAAGAAACGAATGTTTCCAACCTGAAGTCTTTTTGTATCGATGCAGAATCAATCTGCTCAAGGTCATCAATAGTTCATAATATTACTCAAGTGAATGTAAAGTACAGTGCAGTAAAAGTACTCGTATAAGTAAGTGTATCTAGTACTACTCACCTCTGAATATAGATAACAAAGTAATTATTATCCTGTTGTTGTTTAACTCTATCATCACTTGGCTGAGTGACGTCTGCTCAACTCACTGGAGAAAAAAACTGTGCAAAGTTATTTGGCTTTTTCTGTTTTGCTGCTGTGACTCTAACACACACCGGCTTCCTGGACTGCACGGCAAACGTAGTTTTTCTTTTTTAAAGAAGAAAATAAATGTTTTCAGGAACATCAGTGAACAGCATGCAGAGTGGGAAGAGAATCAGTTATTTTTAATCGAAAAGTTTAGGTGTTGTCATGTCTTTTATATATTTTCCAACACTGAAATATTTCTCCTTCTACATGAGGGGTGTCAAACTCCAGTCCTCAAGGGCTGCTGCCCTGCAGTTTTTAGATATGCTACAGGTACAAAACACTGGAATCAAATGGCTTAATTACTTCTTTCTAGTGTAGATAAGTTGTCAAGAGCCTTTCTAATGATCAAATAATCCTATTCAAGTGTGGTGCAGCAGAGGTACATCTAAAAGTTGATGACTGGAATGTGACACCTGTGTTCTATACCAATAATCACATAGTCATTTCTTTTTTTGTTTTTATGCTGGCAGGACAAAGTTAATGTTTTATATCTGGTCTGATCACTAATTGAGTACCTGTGGTCTATTTATTAAAGTATCTTCTGGAAGAGCAAAAATTGTAAAACATATAATATGCATCAGAGTGTAAACCTTTATGGAGTGAATAGATTTATTTTATAACCAAGGACAGGAGAATTGCAGAAATGTTTATGAGACAGAGTGAGCTAGCTTCTTGAACTTCTTGGCATGAAAGGTTTGCTCAGAAGCAGACTTGTTTTCCAAAACTGAGTGAAGAAATAACCCCCAGAGCAGTGATAGAGATGCTGCGTCACACCCTGATGACTTTTCAAAATAGGAAGAAGAACCTGCCTGCTTTCCATGAGCTACAGCTGAGGTCACTCAAGCAGCTGTTGGACATTTTATAATATTTAAATCTTTATTTTTCCTATGAAGGATGGAGGACTACAGCGACGACGAGGACTCTGCTACAGTCAGTGTCAGAAATGCCAAACATCCTCTTAAATGTAAGTGACTATACATATTTTATGTTTCAATAGGATTAAAAACTAACAATATTACCCAAAAGTATTTCATACATTTTTATTCCCTCTGAAAGAAGTTATACTTTCTTAACGTGCTGTATCAGGAGATGTTTTTATGTCGCATGTAAACCTGAAGCTTTATTTTCTAGTCTCATCTGAGAAATTTCTCTGCAAGTCAAGTTTAGTTGTATAGCACATTTCAGCAACAATTCAAGATGACCCCAACAAAAGACATTTTCAGCCTTTTTGATTAATTTACTTATGAAATAAGTCAAGGAGTAGCAGGCAGTGCCACAGGCTGCACCGGTGTTTGCGCGCCTCAGTCTGGTCCTCAGTCAGGCGCTGGTCTTCCTCAGACATGGATCGGCTGATCCCAGGGGTAGACCTCTGTCTCTGGTTTCACAACTGGTGACAGCACTATGTATTTATGATGGATTTCCGCTTTCATGGTGTAAAGCACTTTGAACATCCTTGTTGCTGAAATGTGCTGTACAAATAAACCTTATTGATTGATTAATCAATAACCTATCGATTCCATTGTTTGTTTTTTCAGCTAAAGAAGACACGAAATCATCAACACTCAGGCTCTATTCTGTGTTCTCGGTGTGTTTGGGTTTCTTTGTGTCGCAATGACTGCAAACATCATCTACAGTGAGTTTCATTTCACAGAATAGGTTTTAAGTAGCTTCCTTTATCAAGATGGCGGATGGTGCGGAGTCTGGCTCGGGAGCTCCTTTTTCCAGTCGCCCCAAACTAAACCGCAGATTGCAGATCTACAAGACTACTGATGGAAAGCATATAGTAGAGGATGAGTTTTTAAACATTCTTGCTTTCAAAATCAAGACTATGTGTCAGGAAGAGCTTGTGCTGCTTGCATCAAACACATTTGACTATGAATGTATTGAGTCATGTTTGAACTAAGTAGTGGTACAAATCAGAAGGCTTGAAAGGCCATTAAAAGCTGTTTAATAATGAATGAGTGTGGGAAATCATTACCACACTTTGTCTCCCACTTCCTGGAGGAGCTGTTTCCTTTGACATTCAACTGCCTGGATGTCTCCTACTCACTTAGCCAGATGGAGCGTTTACATAGTGAGGTTTATGCCCTAAAGCAGTGGTCCCTAACCTTTTGATTAACCCAGACCGGTCGAGAATTGGCAATTTTGCTGCGGCTTGGGGCAGTGTCGGGGGTGTTGTCACATTTTTTTTTTTCCTCAGATTTTCCTTTTACGACAATCTTACAATGACATCGAAGGTCATATGTGGAAATGTTTATTACTATAGCTAAAGGTATTTAATATACACTTACAATATGTGGTTATGTTTATTTAGTTAAAAATGTTAACTACAAAAAACAAAACTCACCACCAAATTATAGTGCAGCAAATAGAGCAAATCTCCCCACTCTTTTATCAAATGCCTTTTCTTTTTGTTACGTCTTTTATCGGTTAAAACCGTGGTTCTTAACCAGGTCCTTAACCAGGTCCTTAACCAGGGGTTCGATGGAATCCCAGGGGTTCGATGAGTCGGTCTCAGGTGTTCGGTGGAGCCTCTGCTGCAGAGACAAAGACACTTGTGTAAGGTCGTGATGACGTGCCCCGCTCGGCCATCACTTGCTGCAGAGGATCACGTGACATTGCTGGCCAATCAGTGCTGCAGAGAATTTAGTGGACGCAGTAAACAGCTGTTGTAGCTGTACGTAGTGTGGTTTCTTTCTCAATATTTTAATCCATACGAAACACGTCGAGAAAAAAAAGAACTAATATGTACAACGTATTCACGTGTGTCACAGGATGGGATGGGAAGGGAGTCAGAGTCCCATCTGCATGATATGCAACGGCAAGTTGAGCAACTGTAGGCTTGCACCGGCAAAACTGAGGGAGCACTTCTTGAAGCTGCATAGAGATGGCAAAAGTAAAAAAAGTATTTTGTGGATTCAAAACAACAAAAAACAAATTAAATTTCAAATAAAATAAAAAATTAAGTTATTAAAAAAATTTAAATTCTTCAAAAAATCCAAATATATTTTTAATTAGTAAAATAGCAAAAAATATTTTTGGGGGCTGAAATACTTTTATGGGGCCAAAATATTTTTTATGTTGGTTTTGTTCTTTGAGCAAGGTGATGTTCATGCTCGACTCCTGGCACCAGTAAAAAAAAGAGCATACCTATGACCTGAATTTTGAAAAAAAAAAATCATTTTATTTATCATTGAAGAAGGGTTCAATGAACCCTTCTTCAATGATATAAACTTGTGGGTTCGGTACCTCAAATATGGTTAAGAACCACTGAGTTAAAATGAGTCCACAGACTGTCACTACTGCTTCTACATCGTCATCTGTGTTTTATTATTCTAAATTCACGTGTGGTATGTTGGGGGGTTTACTGGATTTTGTTCAGGGATCAGGATGTTAGTGACTGGAATCGGTTCATGTGTGTGTTGCTTCTGTCTTGTTGCTGGACACACGAACTGATCGAACCTGTTGGACTTTTATCGTCTCTGTGGTCACAGAGGTTTGGAAAATCGGCCGACAATCCTTAAATCAGACTTAAAACTCACAAGCTCCACTCCTCTCATCTTGTCTCAACCGCTGCCCTAACGCTCTCTGACTCTGGTCACTATGGGAACATTTACATATCCCTTCAAAAGAAAATACAGATGTGCCACAAAAACAATCATTTTACTTTCGTGAAAATTTTAACTCACGATAACGACTAATGTCTGTGATTTCCGGGTGCAAAACATGGATTTCTCCGCTCAGTGCCTCAGACAAATGATTTGCCTGTGCGGATAAAGGAGTTTTTTTTTCTTTCTTTTCTGTTGGCTGAACTGATGTTATGACATATGAAACATTTTAAAAGGGAGCCCTGAGGTTGTTTCTCCCATCGGGGAGTAATGTGAAACAATGACACCAGAAGTGTTGCTTATGCGGAGTGCTTGGTCTATACAAGGCGAAACAGTTTGAAGCTTCATTGCCTCATCAGCGAACCATATCATGCAGAGCAGCTTGGACTGTGAGAATCACCTACTGGGATAAATCCATTCTCCTCTCTCCTCTGGGCCTTTACCCCTTCGCAAAGAAACTTTCCAAAGACATCTGATCTGTTTCTTACTCATTTTGCTGCTTTTGGGCTCAATGTTGGCACACAAGACGTAACTGAGACAATCTGGTTAGACTTAGACTTAGACTTAGACTTGACTTTATTGATCCCTTGGGAAGACTCCCTCAGGAAATTATAGAGGATTACAGAGGATTTCCAAAATAAAAGATCATCCAGACTCAAGTAATACATAAAATGGAAATATTTAATTATTCCCCAGGCCAACCCCCGCGTTCAGGAGAAGTTGCGTGAAGTTACCACTACCATTGACCGCAGAGTTGTGGCAATGGAACGACATTTGGTGCCCGGTGGTGTAGGATTCAGCAGTGTGGATATGCCTTGTCCAGGAATACCCAACGCCAATGAGGAGGTGGCGGCATGCATGCGTTGTGTTCCAACAAACTGTGTTACTGCTCATTATGCGGCTTTACTCGTGAATTGAATTTACTCAAGACTGTTTCAGGACTATTGGTGAGCCTGTCGCTGTGGGTGATAACCGACACTGTACTGTAGATGCGCCCACGAGTGAATGACACCTTATGAGTGTCCTCAGAATGAATATTTATTTGAATAGACTTGCTTTCTTGAACTCTTTTATTGATGACCATTATTTTACCTCTGTATATGTTGTAGGTGATATGAATGCAGATATATCTGATGAATATTCTTCATTTGTCATACATATGCATCAGTTTTGTGAAGACAGTTTCATATTGTTCAGTCAGCTCCTCCTACCTGTAGATAGCTATACCTAGATAAGTGAAGCTGGCATACAACGCCATGGCTTGACCATTGCATTAGCTCTGCTGATGCCCATGCTGTTGTAAAATCAACAGAAATCTTATATGAGTATTCTGTCAGATCATGTTCCATTTTTAATGATGCTGGATATTGAAATTCTTCCAGAGTTATATGGGGGCAAATAGATGACTTACTAGCATATCATATAAAAACTGATCTTCTTTTGAGTAAAAAGAAGATCAGTTCAATCTATTATGTGCTCACATGTTAATTGCAGCGCTGTTTAGCACTGAAACCTCAGTTATCAGTTCCATAAGAATAACACATGCTCATACACCTTCATTATTAGCGCACTCTTCCAAGTAAGCAAACCAAAGTTGTATTTTCCAAGATTCCAACATTAGAACAAACTAAGAATCCAGAAAAACTACCATATAAATTACTTTTTATTCTTCCAACCCAGAAAAGGAATTAGGCCAGAGGTATTTACTTGTACTTATCTAGCAACCCTGAATAAAAGTATCTAGTTATATGCTTTGGATCAACATTATTAGATTTGTTTTTCTTTCTTTTGCTCTTTCCTTTGGTCTGTTATTTTATTTGTATTTCCTTTTAATTCACGTGAAGTACTTTGAATTGCCTGGTTGCTGAAAATGTGCTGTATAACTGAAATATTTTAATGCTCTCTGATGCAGACAGTTTCCCTGACTTCATAACAAATTTTTGTGTTTTGATAGTGAGTTTGACGACGGCCGGTCAGCAGGAAAATGTCACAAGACTTGCAACAGAAAAAAAGCAACTGATTCAGGAACGAAAAATGATGGAGAACAAGATTGAGAAGGTGAACCGAGACAGAGACTTGAGCCATGTAAGAACGAGGCTTACCCGAAAGAGGCTTTCTCAAGACAGAGAGAAGCTGAAGAATAAAACAGAGGAACTTAACAAAGAGAGAGACGAGCTGAGCAAAGAGAAAGAGGAGGTGAACAAACAGAAAGAGGAGCTGAGCCAAGACAGAAACAAGCTGAAAGATAAGACAGAGAAGCTGAACAAAGAGAGAGATGATGTGAGGAAAAAGAAAGAGAAGTTGAGCAAAGAGAAAGAGGAGATGAGCAAAAAGAAAGAAGAGCTGAGCAAAGAGAAAGATAGCTGAGCAAAGAGCAAAAAGGAGCTGAGTAAAGAGAAAGAGGAGCTGAGCCAAAATAAAGAGAATAAGAGTGGGAGACGATGAGAAAAGAGAAAGAGAAACTGAGCAAAGAGAAAAATGAGCTGAGGAAAGAGGAAGATGAGCTGAACAAAAACAAAGCAGAGCTGAGCAAAGAGAAAGAAAAACTAAGCAAAGACAAAACAGAGCTGAGCAAAGAGAAAGAAAAACTAAACAAAGAAAAAGATGATTTAAGCAAAGACAAAAAGAAGGTGAGCAAAGATAAAAATGACCTGAATAAAGAGGAGGACCGTCTAAAGAATTTAACAACAGAGCTGAGCAAAGAGGAAAATGAGCTGAAGAGAAAGACAATGGAGTGGAACAAAGAGAAGAATGAGCTGAACAAAAAGAAAGAACAGCTAAGCAAAAACACAATGGAGCTGAACGAAGAAGAAGAGAAGCTGAACAAAAGGAAAGATGAGCTGAAAAACTTGAAAGCAGAACTGAGCCAAGAAAAAAATGTGCTGAGAAAGAAAACGATCAAAGAGATCGAGGAGCTGAACAAAATCAAAGATGATCTGAGCAAAAAGAGAGCAGAGCTGAGAAAAACAACAGATGAGCTGAGCAAAGAGAAAGACGAACTGAGTAAAGAGAAAAGGGAGCTGAGCAAAGTGAAAGACAAACTGAACAAAGAGAAAGATGATCTGCACAAAGAGAAAGAGACACTGAACAAAGAGAAAGAGACACTGAGCAAAGAAAAAAAGGAGCTGAGCAAAGAAAATGATGAACTGAACACAAACCGAGACAAGCTAAGCAAAGAAAAAAAGGAGCTGAACATAAAAAAAGATGAACTGAGCAATAAGAGAAAGGAGGTGGACAAAGAAAAAGATGAACTGAATAAAAAGAAAGGCGACCAGGACAAAGTAAAAGCAGAGCTGAGCAGGAAGACAGAAGAGTTGAACAACGAGGAAAAGGATCTGAATAAAAAACAATTGGAGCTAAACAAGAGAAAGAAGAGCTGGGCAAAGAGAAAGTGCATCTGAGCAAAGAGAAAACGAAGCTGGACAAAGAGAAACAGGAGCTGAACAAAAAGAAAGTCGATCTGAACAAAGAGACAGCGGGTCTGAACAAGGAGAAACAGGAGTTTAGTAAAAACAAAGCGGATGTGAACAAAAAGAAAGAGGAGCTAAACAAAGAGACTGTGAATCTGAGCAACAAGGCGGAGCAGCTGAACAAAGAGACGAAGGAGCTGAATGAAAAGAAAGCGGAACTGAACAAACTGAAAGCGGATCTGAATAAAGAGAAAGTGGAGCTAAATGAAAAGAAAGTGGAGCTGAATAAAGAGAAAGAAAAGCTGAGCGCAATAAAGAAGGAGTCGGACAATCAATGCAAAGAGAGAGATGCCCTGAAGACCTTCTACGACAACGTCATGAAATTTGAACGATTTCCAGTTTCAGAGCTGTGTCCTCTAGATAGTAATTATATTTCTGGATTACCTTTGAAACTCTTGGTTATTAATTTTATTTTTGAAATATTCAACTAAGTGTTTCAAGACACAGCTGACCATTATAATCAGATTATAATCACAGGTAGAGTGCTGAAGGTCACTTTCCTGACAACAAAGTGAGCCAGTAAAATTGATTCATTAGCTCCAGGTTAACAGCCAACTTTTGATTTCAGAGAATATTATTTTTAGTGAACCCTGCGGTATGCCACTTCTGACTAGAATAATGTCTTAATTTAATCACCTTCCAATACTGATCTGCACTCTACCTTTAAAAGCTTTTTTAGAGGAATTTTGATAATGAAAATGTTAAATAAGTCCACATGGATTTCTTCTAGAAATGTATTTTTTCTTTTTGATATTTGACCAAAGTTTCACTTCATTATGCTCTTTCCCCTTGTCTAGTGAGACCAAAATGTCTGGATTGCAGGGTCGGATGGCTTTCCTTCAGGGGACACTGCTACTGGTTTTCAGATAGAGGTCATTCTTTGAATTTCTGGACGTGTCTCGAGACTTGTGTCAGCATGATAGTGGATATTTGGCTATAATTGATGATCTGGAGGAGCAGGTAAAACATAACATCACCTCTACTCTAGAAATTTAAAACGAATCTGAAAGTTTCTGGAAGATTGATCGCTTGACAATACTGAATTGCCCATATAAATTGAATCAATACGACCTAATTAAATTTTTTAAGTGAGAATAGAAAACCAAAGAGGAGGAGGTGTTGCCCTAATACATGATGATTTCTTTAATTGCAAAAAATATTTTTAGGTCATTTGAACTCTTGAATATCTGGGAATTGAGGTAAAAAACCACAAACAAGGTCTGATACTAACTCTATGCAAAACTCCAATATATGTGGAAAACTTCTTTATTGGCTTTAATGGGCTTTTATGTGTTACATGCATCAATTATGATAGTTTCATAAAGTCTGCATTCTTGCTTTGTTGAAGCGCATACATGATGCTAGGAATGAATCTTGGCTCAATATCCATATGCTCCCACTAGCTCAGGTTATATCAACAAATAAGATCATCCACCATAACTACGCAGATGATACACAGCCAGTGATGGCATAGTTACCCTGAAAAAGTAACTGGATTACTGATTACTCCTTAAGAAGTACCTTAGCTAAATTACTGATTACTTGATTTGGTAAAGCGTTACTGACTTCACTGATGTCACCAGGTGACTCTGAACCCATCCAATCACTGAACAGATACTTAGAGCAGATAAATGTGAGGATGTGCCAAAACTTTCTGCGTGTTTCAGGAGTTTCCCTGCGTCAACCCAGCTCATTTCAATTGATGAATGATTAACAGGTATTTGCTGCACTGCAATCACCTGAATCAGGAGTACAAAGGCAGGGAGACATCTAAAATATGCGGGGCAGTCTGCCTTGAGGACCAGAGTTGGAAAACACTGATGTAGAGTCAATGCACAGCTTCAGCTATTACATCTGGAAACCAGTGATCAGACTAAAACCTGGGAGCGGTGATGGACTCAGACCTGAACCTTCAGGGTCACATAAAGGCAGTCATAAAGTCGGCCTTCTATCACCTGAAGAACATCTCCAGGGTTAAAGGGCTAATGTCCCAACAAGATGTAGAGAAACCCAATCATGCGTTTATCTTTAGTCGCATTGATTGCTGCAACATTGTCTTCATAAGTCTGACTAACAAAATCAATCCTCCAGCTGCAGCTGATCCAGAACGCTGCCGCTGGCGTTCTGACTAAAACCAGGAAGATGGAGCACATCGTCCCAGTTCTACAGTTCCTCCACTGGATCCCTGCAGCTCAGAATAAAGTTTAAAATACTGATATTAGTTTATGAATCACTGAACGGTTTAGCACCACATGAACCATCTGCTGCTGTATCAACCCTCCAGACCTCTCAGGTCGTCTGGTTCTGCTCAGCATCCCCAGAACCAGAACCAAATATGGAGAAGCAGCTTTCAGCTTCTATGCACCACAAATCTGGAACAAACTTCTAGAAAGTTGTAAAACAGCTGAAACACTGAGTTCCTTAAATCTAAAGAGCCAGCTGTTTAGAGTTGCTTTTGAAACATTATAAAAGAAACTATCAACATTTTGATTACCATTTTGTAACGATAGAGAAAATTGACAAAATGTAACGCTTCAGTTTTTAACTGTGTTCTATGACTGTATTTTTATGATGCAAAGCACTTTGAACTGCCTTGTTGCTGAAGTATGTTGTATAAATAAATTTGATTGATTGATTGAAGTAAAAGAGATTTATGACAGTCTGAAATGAAATCTGTTCACAGAAATTTATCGTCAAGCATGCCAAACCCTACGAATCTCAACACCAAGGATACTGGATAGGGTTACATCATAAACTCGCCGGATGGTTCTGGGTTGATGGACGTAAGAACGCTCTTGAGTAAGAACTATTATCCAAAAATATACATATTTAGAGCTACTGTGTGTAACTTTTATAGAAAATACATTTTCATATTTGTTGAAACGGCTATCATGTCCTAACAGTATGGTATCTAAAAAGGATTAATAAGGTGTGAAAAATTTGGGCTCCTCTGCCTTCTCCCATTGCTCTGAGTGCTAACTGGAAACAACCAATCAGAGCCTGGAGGCGGGTCTTAGCGCTGTCAGTCACAACCTAGTGTGGCTGCTCTCTGCTACTGCTTTTGCCTATCAGCAGATCCTGCTGTGATTGCTCAGGCTAGTTAGCATAGCAACTGATGGCAGTTTTCCTGTAACAGTAAGTTGTTTCTCTGCCATTAGCACAGTTAGCAGAAACTAAATGAGGTTGAGTGAAAACGTTAAGACCCTCCTCCTGGCGTAGCAACTGTCCCTGTAACTTTAAAGTTGGGCTTTTGCTATGTTTGTGCTTCTGTTGATGGCAATGCCTTTGACTAGGCCATTATTGTAACATGCAATGAAACATTAAGTTGGTGAAGGCCTTCACTGGTTAAATCAGGGGTGATCAAGACAAAAGACCTGATTTGCAAACACATGCTGCCATGAAGAATTCTGTCCAGAGGGATGAATAATTTTTAGACTTCATCATTGGAAGTAGTTCCTTATGTTGAATTTGGATCAAATATTTTTGTTTCATTAGGTTTAGTTACATTTGTGTAGTGTTACTCATTTCTTGAAAACATCTGAGAAAATCCTAAGTTGCTGTTGTAGTTGAGTAATTTTAGATTCAACAGTAGAAACAAGGACATTTACGGTGCGGAGGTGGCGCTGGAGTAAACGCTCGACCCGTGTATAGACGCAGCTATCACAGGTTTGAGGTCCAACCTGTTGACCTTTGCTGCATGTCTTTCTTCTTTCTCACAACCCAAATAAAGACGATTAGATCCAAGATTATTCTTTAAAAGATTGGATCTTTGGTAAAGCATTTAGAGCTTTAAAATCCAAGTTTTCAAGTTTGTAAAACTTTACTACAAGACTTATTTACTACAAGTCTAGTTTCTTTGCAAGTGTGTCTTTATTTACATTGAGACAACAACGCATGCTGACAGTTTTCAGTTTGATGTTAATAAGCTGCTGAACAATTTTTATTTTACAAATGTTCTGAGGTTCATGTTTCTGTCTTAAAGCTTCTGGACAAAAGAGGTCCCCCATTCTTCGGGAGCAGCTCTGCATATGCCACAAAGAAAAGCCAAAGAGAGCTGGAGAGCAGAAGACAAGGCAGTGAAGCACAGATTCATCTGTGAGCATCCTATGACTGTTTGGCCCTACAACTAACACTGTTCTGTTAAAGCTTCAGCGAGGAATACTCAACTGTGTCATCAATTTTTGCTAATCTAAATTTTATGCCCACGGCAACAGGCTCGATAAACTATCAGCAACCCTGCTGAAGGGCTCCAGGGAAAACACAAATCAAGTGTTTTCAAATTTGCATTGAGGTTGTCTCTCTTGCGACAGTCTCAATGCAATCTGACAAAAGCTCAGGTCCAGATGGTCTCCCATCAGTCTTTCAAGCTATACTCAAACCTACTTTCTGTTCAGTTTAGGCCGCCTTTACCAATTGCTTTAAACAAGGATCCCTCCCTCATTCATTTTATAAGGCTTGTATCTCACTTATTCCAAAAAAAGGGAAAGATCTGATGGATTGCACCTTATGCAGACCTTTTTTTCTCCTGAATACAGATGTCAAAATTTTAGTCAGAGTTCTTGGTCGCAGGCTGGAAATTGTTCTACCATCAGTTATTTCAAAAAGCCAAACAGGTTTCATTAAAGGTCGGCCTCATATTTTAAAGTTGGAAGATTGTTTAACAGCCTGTTGTCTCTTTGACTATCCTTTTGTAGTCCTCAGTAGATTTGGCTTTTGGGGGAAAAGACATTTCATGGATTAAATGATTGCACCATCAGCCGTCTCCTACAGTTTGTACTAATTTTCACACCTCAAAACCTTTTAAAATACAAACTGGCAGCCATGAGCGCTGCTCTTTAAGCCCCCTCGTTCTTGTTTTGGCCATAGAGCCCCTTACCATTGCAATTAGGACCAGTGAGGAGATATCCAACATTCAGAGCAGAGCAGTGATAAGGAACATCAGGCATCACTTTATGCAGACGATCTTTCTGTGTCTTTCCATTTTGCTCTCGATTTGTTTAGCCAGATTGGTCAGATTTCTGGGTATAAGCTGAACTTTACCAAAT